CCAAAAAAAAAAAAAAAAAAAACAACAAAAACCAGAACAAAAAACACAACTTGGTGCCAAGAGTAGGGGTGGAGTGTGGGGTGCACGGTGAGTGTCAGTGACTCAAAGGATGAAGGGGAGCAAGGTTACTGGGGAAATTTTGTCAGTTTCTGGCACAGTCCTTAAAACCGATATCACCTGAGCCTACCTGTAGACTGAGCCCTAGGGCTGACACAGGTGCTGTTATGGTTTCTAAAAGTTAGTGACGGGCAAGTCAGAAAACCTCAAAGATAGTGTTGTTGTTGCTTTTTTTTATCATTAGGAGCTATGACACGTGGTTCAGGTCGTGAAGGTCCTTGCAGTCAGAAGAGGAGGCTGTTAATTGAGTCTTGAGAAAGGTTTAGTGGAAGACGGGATAGTTGGGCCACAGCGACTGGGGGAATCCTCATAGACAGAGGGCCATTTGTGGTGGTTCCCACACTAGCAAAGGCATAGAGAGAGGAAGGCTTGACGGACTGTGTAGGGCAGAGAGGCCTCCCTTAGAGGGGAGCAATGGGACGACCTGGGGGCTTTCAGTTTAGATTCAGCAGTGTTACTGATCCTGCTGCTTCGACAGGTTGAAGAAGGGATTACCTGTTGGCCTTCGGGAAATGTTTGCAGTGTATCCCCTTAGCTCCTGCCCTCTGCTGCATCCTCTCAAAATTGAAAAGGAAGGAGAGAGTTGTTTAAAATTCAGTGAACTTTCTGGACCTTTCTTCCTCCAGGATTCACGTGGCTTTATTGCCACCACGCAGTTATACTTAAAATATTGACTTTTTTTATAGTAGCTTTATCTAACTTTGCTATGGGTGTATTTCATTAGACACAGGGGCTGAGAACAACATTTCGGAATGTTCAAATGTGCAACATTTACAGCAGAAGCAATGCCAGGGTGCAGATTTCCAATGTCTTGTTCCTTATGGGCAGACGTCGAAATTAAGAGTCTAAAGAATGTTCTATAGAGACAAGAGGATACGAAGGTTTTTGTGTAGTCAACCAATATTTGGTTACTTACTTTGTGCAGCATTTGCCTCTGACACCGGGGCTTGGGGGGTTTCAGGATAGCTAAGTTGGGTGGTACTTCCTGAAGTGCTAACAGTATGCCATGTTTTGGTTACTTTCCCTTACATAACATTTAAGTAATGTCTGATAAGAAGCATCCTTTTGGAAACGATAGCCCTCCTCTGGCTCTTCAGCTCTAAGCTCCACAGGGATGGGGGCTGTTTGCAGCTTCCATTGTTTCAGTGCTGTGTCCTCTGGGCCAAGGCAGGCCTGGCCCACCTAGCAAGAACTCACTCAGTATTTCTGTTCTTCAGTCATGGTCCAGGGGGTTATATTGTTTATCTGGATAAGATCTTGGAATCTTTCTGATTTCAGAAACAGGTAGGTTGGGTACTTGTAAGTGTATGCCACCTCCTGTCTCAGTGCAGTGATGCTTCACTAGGTACTTAGGTATAAGGACCTGTAAGTTAGAAAACACACTGAATCATATTTTTTTCTCATTCACAATAAATTATTTAATTTTTTAAAAAATTAAATATTAATCGTATATAGCCTAGACACAGCCCCCAAGATCAGATGAAAACCTTGAAAATAGATTTTAAACCTCGCTTACATGATTCATCCTAAGAGAAGATAAGGGATATACCAAGTGCTGCCTTTTTTTTTTTTTTTTGCTGTTGTTTATTTTTAATTTTAAATTTTTTGGGTGTTTTTTCATGGTGTACCAGGCGACTTTACAGTCTGTGCCCCACCCCCCTCCCCCGTAACTGAATACGAATAATATGCATGTATTAGTCACATTTAGGCTGACCCAGCCCTGCTCACAAACCTTCAATGGCTTCAACTCACTCTGAATCAAAGCCAAAGTCCCTCCAGAGGTCCGCATGTCCTTGCTGCCCCTCTGACCCCCTGTCCCCTTCTATCTCCCCTGATGATCCTGCTACGGCCACGCTGACCCTGTCTTTCCTTAACCACACCAATCTGCTTGGAGTCTTTGCCTGGACCATTTCTGCTGCCTGGAGTACTTTGCTCCAGATTTTGGGAAATGACTGATTGGTTTAAGGTCCAGTTAAAGACCACAATTGAGTTCTCAAGTAATTGTCCACTGTGTAGTGCTGCATATATTAACCTCAGGGATGTGAAGACATGTGAGTCGTCTTATAGCCATCTGTCCGGTCTGCAAGGCAGTGGTGCTCTGTGCCAGCTGCTGCTTACGGCTTTCTTGACCTGTGGCTCTTATCTCTCTCTTCCCCACTCCAGTCCTGATTCTGCTGCTTCTGCTACTTATTCGGAGGAGAAGGGTAGTGAAAGAGCCCTTACTGCCCCCAGAAGACGACACCCGGGACAACATTTATTACTATGATGAAGAAGGAGGTGGAGAAGAAGACCAGGTGGGTGTGTAAATCCCTGGGAGAAGGCTCAATGGCAGTCTCTCTATTTGGAGGAAGCAATGATTAGGGGAAGACAGACATCTGAAACAGCTCTGTCACTTTGCCTATTTTTTTTAAAGACCTTTCATCTACCCAAGAAAATAGATGTCATTAGCCATCATCATCATCATCAACATCATCAGCATCAATACAGCATTGCTAACATTTATTTATTGTTCAGATGAATGAACAGAGGCACAGAGCAGTTAAGCAATTTGCCCAAAGTCACAGAGCTAGGAAGCAGTAAAACCAGGTGGCCTGACTCCCCTCACTCTCCTCACTGCTATTTCGAGGACATGAACTTTATTCAAATTATCTTTGACATAGAGCAACTGATCTGTTTTTTGTTGTTGTTGTTGTTTTTATAAATTTATTTTATTTATTTATTTTTGGCTGCATTGGGTCTTCGTTGCTTTTGTGCAGGCTTTCTCTAGTTGTGGCGAGCGGGGGCTATTCTTCGTCGCGGTGCATGGGCTTCTCATTGTGGTGGCTTCTCTTGTTGCGGAACACAAGGACTGATCTGTTTTATTATTTTGTTTCCTTTGAGTTTGTAGCTGTGCCAAACGGCTTTTTGCTTTTTTGAGATGTTAATTCTTCAGGCCTTCTTTATTTCTCTTGATTTTGGAGATGGTCTTAACTTGCCTTACCCTGTATTATTGAGGTATTGCCACAATAATGCTGTATAACAGGCAATCCCAGAATGTCAGTGGCACACGTCAATAAGCATGTTTTTCTCGTGCGTTTGTGGGTTAGCTGGGACAGTTGCTGGTCTCAGCTAGTGTCTTACTCTTTTTGGGCTGCTGTAACAAAATACCATAGACTGGGTGCTTATAAACAACAGAAATTTATTTCTCACAGTTCTGGAAGCTGGGAAATGTAAGGTCAAGGTGCTGGCAGATTCAGTGTCTAGTGAGGGCCCTCTTCCTGGTTCATAGATGGCCCTTGTCTCACTGTGTCCTCATGTGGTGGAATGGGCAAGGGAGCTCTGGGTGTCTTTTATAAGGGCACTAATCCCATTCCTGAGGGCTCCGTACACTGTCACAACCTAATCACCTGCCAAACGTCCTACCTCCAAATACCATCACATTGTTTCAACATGTGAATTTAGGAGGCACACAAACAATCTATGGCATCTAGGCTCAGAAGAATGTGTGAGTTGGTTGGGGCTAGGCTGATATAGGCTGCATTTGGCTGGATGGCTGTGTGCTGTGAGTTGTGTCCAGGAATGTTCCATATAATTCCTGTCTTCTTTGTCCCAGCAGGTAAGACCAAAGTACAGTTAAAGCCTTTGCCTGTGTCACATGTATTAATGTCCCATTGGTCAAAGCAAGTCAAATGGCATAGCCCTACATTAATGGATTTCTATTCTTTTCACAGAGGATAGGGTGAGAAAGGAGTGAATATTTTCTGAATAATAATCTAATAATCATACCCTATGAAAAGTTAATAAGGCGAAACAGTCTACATCTGTACCCACAAATGTTCCTCACAAGGCTTTTATGCTGTATTTCCTTCCAGTGCTATTTGGAGACTCTTAGGTTGAAAACTACCATTTCAGAAAAGGAAAAAAAAGACCAACTGCCATTTCAGATGACATTGGCACATGCCTGTAGATATCATACAGCTGACTGTTAAGGCCTTAGCCAGTACCGTAATCTGTAAACCAAATATGACCCTGTGTTTATGACTGTTTCTATTTTACTCTTTGTTATGCTTTTACCTTTTTCTCTAAAGGACTATGACCTGAGCCAGCTACACAGGGGCCTGGATGCTCGGCCCGAAGTGACTCGCAATGATGTGGCGCCAACCCTCCTGAGTGTGCCCCAGTATCGACCCCGGCCTGCCAATCCTGATGAAATTGGAAACTTTATTGATGAAGTAAGTAAGCAGAGTCAAAAGCCAAGACACAACAAACTCACCTCTAAACTTGGAAAGGAGCTGTTGTGTCAAAAGTGAGAAAAATTCTTTAGAGTCTTTCCTTTACCATGTTTTCATCCCTGAGCCTTATTTGTTTTTGTTTTTGTTTTTTTCGGTCCGCGGGCCTCTCACTGTTGTGGCCTCTCCCGTTGCGGAGCGCAGGCTCAGCGGCCATGGCTCACGGGCCCAGCCGCTCCGCGGCATGTGGGATCTTCCCGGACCGGGGCACGAACCCGTGTCCCCTGCATCGGCAGGCGGACTCTCAACCACTGCGCCACCAGGGAAGCCCCTGATTATAGCTGTTTCTTAATTACAAAAATAAAATGTTTGCTATTTAAAAAATATAAATTATGAAAATGTATATAACGAAAAAATGTGCAAGTCCTCCCTCAGTTCCCCTGACCATAATCACCAAAGTTAATTTAGCAGTTTGGCATTCATCCTTTCAGATCTTCTCGGGCTGAAATGCAGGCTGTGTAGCCTGGCATGACTGTCCTCATTGTTTTTAGTCTCTGTCCATCCTGATTGGTTGGTGCTCATCTCTCCTGCCTACATATAATTTACCAGTTTCGTTTAGGGGGAAAACATTCTGCATACTTTCTCTTTTCATTAACAATATATCACGTCCATCTTCTGTTCCAGTTTGTATTACATTTACCTTGTTGGTGTTCAGTGCTCCTGGCGTTCTGCAGGATGGTCTCATTGTTGTGCCGTAACACTTGGCTTTACGCACCAAAAGAAGGCATCTTGCCTAAGATGACAGGTGTGCGATTCCTCTCAATGAAAGATCCTATTGTCTTCCTTCTTTAGAACCTGAAGGCAGCTGATAGTGACCCCACCGCCCCACCCTATGACTCTCTGCTGGTGTTTGATTATGAAGGAAGCGGCTCCGAAGCTGCTAGTCTGAGCTCCCTGAATTCCTCGGAGTCAGACCAAGACCAGGATTATGACTACCTGAACGAATGGGGCAGTCGCTTCAAGAAGCTGGCGGACATGTATGGAGGCGGCGAGGATGACTAGGGGACTCAAGACCGATGGGGAGACAGATGGGTCCCTACAGTCATGTGATGGGAAATGGGGGAATAATATTCCTGATGGTTTTCCAGCTTCCTTCACTTGAGATGTGTTTCTGGAGAAGAGACCCGTGATCAGTGATAGGATAGTTATGATTTCCACTTTGTAGATCTAATGTGTGTGTTAGAACGATTTTGACTTATTCCATGAATCTTTTTTCCCCTTCCATCACTCTTTACATGACGGCGATGTCCAAAAGACCCCCAAATTTTAATATTTCAAAAGATTAGCTTCAGCCTTAGAAGGTTCTGCTGGCAACTGGCAGGTTTCCTTACGGGCTTTGCCTCATTTTTAAAAGGAAGGTGAGGGGTCAATTTCCCTCTTGTAGATATAAAGAAATTAATTTGTGTGTTTTCGGTCCTTCCGTCACTGCACTGGTGTGCAGTGTTCCATGCTCTAATATCCATTCTTACTCCCTCTGAATTCTATTACATTTCTCTGATGCAGAAATTATTGGGCTCTTTTAGGGAAAGAGGCTTATGTCTTAGTCTGGCCATATGCTGAGCGGGTATTGTGTACTCCTAAGACCTTTTAACGGTTTTCCTTTTCCATCTCCTGAGTACATAACTTGAAATGGGCATCTATCCAGTTTACTTGTTCTGAGTAAGAATGTTTGTTATGTGAATGTTGTTATGGGGTGCTTTGGTTCTAGACAGGGAGCCTGGGCCAGAAAAGGTGGTGAGTTTTCAGGTGCCACTGAACTTTTAATGTTCATTTATCCCTAAAACAAAAGAGTGATATATTCTGGGACTCAGAATAGTGCCTGAAGTGCTGCAGCCAAAGACAGAAGCTGGCTCATCCCAGCAGAGGGGAAATGTGAAACGTGGCCGTGGAGATGGCAGGGGAGATTGTCACTGAGCCTGGAAACTGAGCCAACTGAGGCTGAAGACTGTTGCGGTGCCTCTACCTCCAGCCCTCAAAATTCTGAAAGAGTAGAGGAATCTCAACACTCGTTTCCTGCCAGGATCCTTGTACCGTGGTTTGTACCCAAAGCACAGAATCCCCGGTGCCTGCTTTTGTTGATCTATAGAAAATGCTGGCTGGTCTGGACACCTTTGCCCCAAATTCCAACTTTGCATGAAAACTTCAGAATGTTTTAAAAATCCAAATTTTTTTTTCCTTAGGAGCAGGAAGAAAACACTCCTTGAAAGGGTATTAGCAAAGGGAGGTGAGGGTAGGGAGAACCTTAATTTGGATCCTTTTTTAGTTGAAATGCAAGCTTTACAAAACCTTTGACAATCATAGACCAGAACTTTATCTAAATTGCTTCCCTATGTATCAGCTGTTTTTGGAAGAAAAACCCATCCCTGCAACCACTTCTTAGAACTGTCTTGATTTTTCAGCAATTTAAACTCTAATGTAGTTCTGTGTAGAGAATGTCACTGTAGTTTTGAGTGTATATGTGTGTGGGTGCTGATAATTTTGTATTTTCTTTGGGAAAAGGAAAACAATTCAAGGTGGAAAAAATTATTCTTAAATATTCATTTTTATAAATTTTATTAAAGAATTTTGTTACACCATTGTCAAACTTGTTTTATTTGATTACACAGTTCCAGGCCAGACAGACAAGTGGTTAGGTGAGCTTATTCAAAACATGGAGAAAGAAGCTTCATATTAAAATAACTTCCCCTGAACTTTGTGTCATTCTGTTGGGGCAGAATAGCGGGGAAACTGCGCACCTAAGGTCACTTTATTTGAAGGCTATCCATCCATGTGGCATGTAGTGAAACCAACGAAATCTCCTTGTCAGGAGGCTACTGTGGGTTGTGCCGAGGGATAGAAAGAAGCAGGGCTTCAAATAACATTGTAGGTCAGCAAAGTTAGTACAGGGCAGTGGTTCTCCACTGGGGAAGATTGTGGCCCCCTCCCCCAGGGGACGCTGGCAATTTCTGGAGATACTTTTGGTTGTCATGACTGGCGAGGTGCTTCGGCTGCTGACCCTAAAGTTCTTGACAAGGTTGGGTCCCTTGGCTAATTTCAAATCAGCTAAACATGTTTTACACCAATACAGACTTCTTTGTGCATCTTGAACAACCCCATATGGTTCATTGCAGAGAAGCAGCGCCCTCTCCCTGTAGCTCTTGAGGGTATTGGTTGTGATGGGTGTTTAATAGCATATTACCAGGGCGTCTCCCAGCTGTACTTCTGTGTTTTAACAAAGCTGCCCAGAGCAAACTGAGGAAGGGGCTACCAGCATTCAATTCCTACAAACTAAGATTCTGTGAGTGTAAATACTGGACTCTTGGGACATAGGGTACTTAAAAGCCCATTTGAATAATTTTTTAGGCCTGGAGAAGCCTGAGAATGCTTCCTCTTTTTTAGACGCAGGACTTAATTACAGCCTTATAGGCCCTAGGCACTCCTCTAACATCCCATTACATGGATTAAAGTGCACCCAGTGTTCCATGTGGGATATATTTTCTTGCTGTAAAAAATTTTATAGGATCTTCATGACATTGCTTTTAAGATTATGCACATCACTTTGTGGTATCTGAGGCTATGGAGCCTGAAAGATAAAATCTGGTGTCATAATGCTTTGGAATAAAGGAGTCTCAGCTCTGGGAACCGTCTTAAACTTGTGGAAATCCCACATCAGTACTGCCCTTAGGCTTGGGCTAGGAAGGCCCCAGCCCGGGGTCCATGCCCTACCTGCCTCCTCCACCATGCCCCTCCCCATGGCCAGGCTTGTTCACTCCAAAACCTCACCCTCCTCCCACACCACCCTCCAGGTTCTGGGACCCTTGAATTTCCTGCCCAGCCACCCTTGAGTCTGCTTCCAGGGCTCTGTGGGCCTCTTCACTTGGTCTGCCCTCTGGAAGGTGCACTATGATCCCTGTGTGTGCGCTCCTAGCCCTAGGGAGGCCAAGTGGTAGTTTCTTGGAGGTGTGTGAACAGAGCTTGGATGTGCACATCCAGGCTGGGGTGTCTGCATGTGTGTCTGCAGGATGGAGACGCTAGTGAGAATAAAAAGGGGTCAGGCCAGAGGTGGGCGGCTGGCTCTTCACGTATAGCCTTGTCCAGTATGGAGCTCTGAGGTGAAGTCTGAGAATTCTCAATTCAAACCTGGTGTATTTTTCAAGGTAGGAGGATAGAAAAGATTTTAATAAAATATTGTCTACTGGCTTGATTTATACTTTGAAATATTTAGACATGGTATGAGGGCCTCCATTTGTATTTTTCACTAATCCCCACAAATATTAGGGGTGGGCCTTTCCCACACGATGCCCTACACCCATTTTGCTAAATGTTTAACACCTTGAAATGACCTCAAAAATTTTTTTCCCCAAAATGAACTCGTGTCCACACATTATTGAAGAAAAACTGTCTATTGACAAAACCTAGGGTGCGATATAATGAAAAGAGTGCTAGGAAATTTTGCAGGTCATTTATTTCCCCTTCAAAAATGTTCCTCTAATTTGTAGATATTTTGGCAGGTTTTGTTTGAGGAAGAGATGGGGAGGAAGATCCAGGTAAAATTTATTAAGCATCTCCTCTGTTGCAGACATTGCTAAATACTTGAGAGCAGTATCACTTTAACTCCCTAAGATAGCCTAGTGAAAATGGTTCTGTTATCTTCTCATTCTAGAGAGTAGGAAATGGCTGATGGACTAGGGCTGGAGCCCAGAGAAATGGGAGTGACCTGGAGGGGGCCTGACTCACTGAGAAGAGTTAAATAAACAATTTCCTCCCCCAGTGGCATGGTCTTTCATATGGAGCGCAGCCCATTTCCCAAGATTTCCAGCAGCTAACTGCTGAAGAGCAGTCATCAGTCATGAACTCAGGTTAGCTCAGGGGATCTCAAGGAGATTCAGGACAGCCTCTTGGGAGCAGTTTCACGAAGTGGGTATTGGAGCTGGTTGTGACAGTGATAGGAGAAATTATTGACTGAGTGAAGGGAGAGGCAGGAGTGCTAAAGTCTTGCTCTCAGAAGCATTGTCCTGGATTTGCAGCATGCCTTTCAGACAACATGACTTTTGAATGTCCCACCAGGATTCAGGTAGGTGAAAACCTGTTTCGATGATATAAATCTCCAACGCATTCTGTTTTACATATTAACTCAATTTTGATGGGGCACGATTTTAATAGACATTGAATTTTCCAGGAATGC